GGACAAGGTCGCATATCACGCTTGCCCGACTCCACACGCACGCCGTTCTCGTCGGAGCGGCCACCTCCAGCGCCAGTCGCTGGAACGAGCGCGTCGCGACCCAGTTGGCGATCGACCCGAGCGGGCCCACTCGATCACCCGCGAAGGACATGGCGTCAGCGGGTCAGAATGATTGCCCACTCTCCGCGCGATTCGCGAGTTGCCAGATCGAGAAGTCACCTCTCTTGCCGATCTGGCTCGTCGGCTGGCCTTGCGCAGCCAGCGAAGGGCGACCGGCTTTGTCGCTCAAGGAGTTCTGCGAGCGGGCGTCGACGACGCCAGCGCTGGGGGGCCCCATCGCCCCGCCGGTCAGGACCCCCTCCCTCCATTGAAATCGCCGGCGACGGCGGCGGGGCGCTGCACCGCCCGAAGGACATTATTGATTGTAAGTCGCGCCGTTGGAGGACCTCGCGGGCTCCAGAGGTTTAGGATCCAACGGCAGCTCTCGGCGGCGACCTCGCAGTCGTTCGCGACGCCGCCCGCGCTAATCCTGAGCCCCCCCCCCCTCCTCGAGGTGCGCGATCTACGGGTGGCTCTTCGGGGCATGAAAGCTGAAACTGGACTCGGGGTCGACCGCATCTCGCCTGGGGACCTTGAGCGTCTTCCTGATGTGGGGCCCCAGGGGCGTGCCGACCCACTGAACTGCGCGGAGACCCTCCTCATGTGGCCCGCGCAGGTTCTCTCGGTGCACGGGAAGCCTCTTAAGAAGAAAAACCTCGGGCGATCGCATCATCGCCATGATCGGCCGGGTCTGGAGCAAGGCTCCAGAACCATGGGCCCAGCAATGGACCTCGGCCACTGACCCGCCCTGGGATGCCGCGGCCAAAACAAACGCATCCCTCCAGGAGGCTCTTCGTCGGCTCCTGGACGAGGAGACGGCGGCAGCACTTGAGACTTCGTGCGCTCACAACTTGGTCGATCTCACGCAGAGTTCGACACCATGAGTTGGCTGAAACCGGTGCGCGCTGTAGTCCGTTTGGGATGTCCATCGACGGTCCTCTGTCTTGAGATACTTCAGCGCGCATGCCCACGCACGCTGAATCAGATGCCCGCGTACTCCGAACCGATCAAGGTCATCAGGTCCATCGTGCAAGGCCTCAGCGGTGGCACCAGATACGCGCGCATCATGACATATTACGCGACGCAGAAGGCTTGCATAGCGAACCTGAGGCTCAGCCATCGTCTATGGCTGGACGACCTCCCCCAATTCACCAAGGGGTCACGACGGCAGATACGAGTGGAAATGGTGCGATGTTTGAATGAAACGGCCAACGCCCTGAGGTCCCAGGGTTTGCGAATTTCTAGTACACCTGTGATCACATGCAATCATCAGTCGGATGCCGTTGTTATTGTTGCCGCTTTGAGGAGGAAGGGCATTGTCCCGCATACTGCTCGCCAGTGTACTTACTTGGGGATTGATATGGGAGGAGGCCGCCGCCATGCACGGTTTGAGCGTCTTAATCGAGTTGCAAAACATTTGGATCGGCATCGTCGTGCTAGTCGTTTCGCACGTGCACACCACAAGCATAAGATCTCGGCTCGATTGGAGACCCAAGGAGGACAGCCGGTGGGCAGCTACGGATGTCAGATGCACGGAGGTTTCGGACAGTACCTGACTTCGCATGGTCGTAAGCTGGGCGCCGCTTGCCATGCTAAGACACATGGCCGCTGTCTCACGACGCTGCTTGCAGTTCGTGCTCCTGGACAGGACCCAGCTCAGAGTTTCGCGCATGGAACGTTCGCTTCGCGGCTTCAGCAGTGGCGCGACCACCCAGAGATCAGGCCTGCAGTGAGAAGGGTTTGGTCCAAGGTGCGCGTCAAGCTACAAGCTGTTGACCCTGCACGACGACCTCGGCATATCCGAGGTCGATTGCCTGTTATTGTCACGTATGTGGTATCTTTTGGTTGGGTCCCGCGAGGACCATCTGATTGGCGCATTACATATGCAGACCCATGATTGGGTATCTTTCCAGGCGAAGGTGTCACAGGTAACAGATTCCTGGATTCGTTTGACGAGTTTGTTTGGGATGTTGACGAAGCGCCCATGGCACCATTCTGGACAATGCCGCCCAACCCTTCGATGGCGAGGGGCTTCTGCATGGCACGGACGCCTTTTTCACTTCGCAGGCTTTTGGAGCAGCTCAGCTCTGCGTCGCCTGGCGGCCCCAGGCTAGCCGGCATCCTGCTGAATATCGCTATCGGAGGTGCGCGGATTCGGATGTACAAGGGTCGCCTGAACTCTGATCATCAGGCCAGCAATATTCATGTTCCTGAGACACTGCAGTGCCCGCCTGTTTACGAAGCCAGTAATAGATAGCCTCATACCCTGGGCGTCTTCGCAGAGTGCATCCCACGCCTGTCTGTGGCTCCGCGGTTTGCTTCCGAAGGACTGGATTATAGTGCCATCACCCTTGCTGTCCGACGACTGGGAGGCTTTCGGATTGTCCGGCGAACTTGGTCCTGGATGTTTTCCTGCACGCATCGGCGAGGAGATCATCATCTTTGGGGACTCCAGCGGCGGCGCCGACACAGCAGATCCGCGCCTCCGCAGAGTAACTCTAGGAGTATGTATCATGGAGTCTTTCGACCCCCCGCGCGTAGCAGCCTACGTGTCAGGGGGCCTTGCTGGCATGCGCCTATCGGTGCCCCGAGGCGAGCTGAAGGCACTGTGCCTGGCACTGTGGTGCAGTCGAGGGGCCGTCCGGTATGTTACCGATTGCGAACCCCTCTTCTCGGGCTGGGGGCCAGGACATTCGCGGCTCCTAGTGGAGCCGATGCCGGCCTCTGGGCCAGTATTCAGATCCTGCTCACTTCCAGTTCCAGGAGCGAAAACGGTATCCAGGTCGATTTCGTACACTCCCACCTGGACGGGCAGTCGATAGTCGAGGGTCGGGCTGAGAGGTGGAAGGTGATCGGGAACACGGCGGTGGATGAGATCGTAGGTGCGAAGGCCGAGGAGCTCTGAGTCCCCTTGAATGTGCGTCATCAGATCTTGGACGTAGAGCGCAAAGCTTCCCTCGTGCGCCATCGCCTGTTGCTCGCGGCGATCCGGAGCAGGAGCAGGAGCGGGAGATACAGAGACGGAGGCACCAGGATAGTGAGGGTCCTCCTCCTCCCCCTCCTCCTTCTCCTGTCGTGGCGCCTGCTCCCAGTGTTGTGTCCTTGTTCGCCACGTCCCACGCGTTGGACGACAGTGGGCGTAAGTACAAGCGCTGTCTGGGGTCTGCTTCCAAGGATCGCCTCGAGGTCTAGAAGTTGACCCCGTGTCTCGAGCCCCTCAACTTGAATGGGGATTTCCGCATGGTTCCTTTCGGGCACAGGCTGCACGTTGCAAGACACTGGGTGCACGATTCGCATCGTATGAACCTTAGTACCAAATTGGGTCTTTGTTTTTGTGGCTGTTGCGGTGTCTTCGCCAGTTTACACACTCGAGCCAAACCGACGGGCGAGGGTTCTTAAGGATGATCTGCCAAGGCTTGTGGCCCAAGTCTTTAACCAAGGCCGAGAAGGCGAGGCACTCCCACGACGGGAGACATCCACCCCCCTCGGTTAAAATGCCCCATATTCCTTCACTTTGTGAACCGACAGTATCATTATCCTCCTCCTCCTCCTCCTCCTCCTCCTCCTCCTCCTCCACCTCCTCCTCCTCCTGCTCCTCCTCCCCCTTCGCCACCTCCTCCTCATCCTCATTCTCCTCCTCTCCCTCCTCCTCTCCCTCCTCCTCCTCCGCCACCTCCTCCCTCCTCCTCCTCCTCCTCCTCCTCCTCCTCTCCTCCTCCTCCTCCTCTCTCCTCCTCCTCCTCCTCCTCCTCCTCCTTCCTCCTCCTCCTCCTCCTCCTCCTCCATCTCCTCCTCCCCCTCCTCCTCCTCCTCCTCCTCCTCCTCCTCCTCCTCCTCCTTCCTCGGGTCGCCTACGGCCCCGGGGGAAACCGTGCAGCGTCGGCCGCTCGCGCGACCGCGTATAGGGGCCTCCAGGAAGCAGCAACTGGGAGCTCCACCCCCATACGACGCTCCCCGTTCCGAGAACGGGAGGCGCGTGCGTCTCGCGGCTGGGAGGGGAGAGGGAGCACGAGTTCTTGAAGGGGCCCAGGGACGCACAGATAAATACACGCAAATTCCAGTATTCCCCATCTGCCCCCCTTCTCATAGTTTCCCTATATTTTCCTGGGGATCGACCATTAATTATATCTTTGTTGTTTGTCCTCTCCTGAGTTCTTGGTCCCGCGGCAACGCAGCTCGACAAGGCAGGCGTGAAGCCCCTGAACTTGCCACCGGAAGCGTGCAGGCGAAGATGCCAGAGGCGGGAAGCCGGAGCGCCGCCCTCCGTCCTCCTCTCCGCCTGGCCGCCCCCCTCCCCTGGAGAGGGAGCGAGAGTTCAGGGGCCGGGAGGGGAAGGGGGGAAGGAGAAGGACAGGGAGAACGGCGAAAGAGGCACTCTGCAGGAGCACGGGGAGTAGCCGGGGAGGGCAAGATCAGTCACCACCGAATCGGGAAATCAGATCGAATCCATTTGCGCGTCGGGTCGAGCCGCATCAGCTCGGAGTCGGCACCGAATCGGGCCGCCCGCGCCAGGATGCACCAGGGCGCCCACGCAAGCATCGGGCCGCACCGCATCGTCGCAAGACGGACTCGAATCGGATCGGGCCACCTGGAATCGAGATCGAATCGGATCGGTCGCATCGACATGGACCCCGGAGGGGCGTTTGGAGTCCCGAAACGGTGCGGTGACAGACCGTGCGGTGACCTCGAAATCCCCCAAGACCTCACCGCACGGTCCGTCAACTCGCGGTCTCGGGACCTCCCATGCCTCAGTCGCCCGAGACATACTCGAAGAACAACCCAACGCAAGTCCCAAAACCGTGCGGTGACCCCGAATCCCCACCGACTCACCACACGGTGTGGTCACCCCCCCGTTTGGGGGCCCCCGAGGGTGGCCCTCCGCCCTGCGACACCCCGGGAGCCTCGGTCTCCACCAGCCGGGAGTCGAGGCGGGCGAGCCAAACCTCCGCCTCTGTGGCTCGGCGCTCCGCGTCGGCCCGCCTGAGCCTCTCCTCCCGCAGCTGCGCCTGGCCAGGCGCGCCACACGTGCCTCACTCCTCACTCCGCACTCCTCACTCCTCACTCCTCACTCCTCCTCCTCCTCCTCCTCCTCCTCCTCCTCCTCCTCCTCCTCCTCCTCCTCCTCCAGAGGGCGGGCTCGCTGTGTGAGTCAGGATTCCTCCTCTTGTGCCCCTCTTGGGGCTTTCCTAGAACGCTCTTGGGCTGTGTTAGGGGCGTTCTGGGCCGTCTTGAGGCCCTGTGGGGGACCTCTTGGGCCAGCGTGAGAGGTGTTGGGGGGCTCTTGGGCTGTCTTAGAGACTTGGAATCGCGAAAGAGCAAGAGCACGAAAGTCGTTGAACAAAAATCGATTGGGAATCAACATGTGCTGCCTCTTGGTTCCTTCAGCCCATGCCGCCACCGTTCCTGGGTTGTGGATTAGGCCTCTTGGAAGCTCGTTGGGATATTGTGCAAAGCCTATCGGGGGCCTTTTGTAAGCAGTTTTGAAGCCCCCAGGGGAGCGTTTTGGAGCCTCGTGGGACCTCTTTTGGGCCTCCTGGGCCTCTTTTCGGCCTCTTGCAGCCTCCTCGGGGCCTCTTGGGGAGGAAGGCTCGAATTGTCGGTTCGCATTCCCGGCCGTCTTGGACGCCTCTTGGGCCGTTTGGGGGCCATCTTGGGCCGTCTTGGGGGCCGATCAGGTGGCTCTGGGGCCCTCTTGGGGCGACTTGCGCAGTCTCGGAATGTCGGACTCTTGAAAATTGGAGAAAACGAAAAATACGTATAAAAACCGCACTGAAAATCAATGATCTGGGCCTCTTGGGGCCCTCTTGGAGGTCCTCTCTGAGCGCTCTTGGGGCCTCTCGGGGGCCTCTTGGGCCATCATGGGGCCATCTTGGGCGGCTTGGTGCGCTCTTGGGCGTCTTGGCGGCATGTGGGCGTCCGCTGCGGGCGCCGAGGAGGGCCCTGGAGGCGCAGGGAACGCCCCGGAGCGTTCGAAAAGGAGCGCTGGCGCCGGGGACGAAAGTGGGTTGCGGGGGGGAGTTTATGAGAAGTGGGGGGGCCCAGGGCCCGGGGCCCCAGACGACCGTTACATTATATAAAAGTTTGTGTTTGTGCAGATTTGCCCATCCTGATACTCACCCTCATTCCCCAATTGTCCTCCGACGAGATCTAGAATCGCGCAGGCCAGAAAACAGCCTACCGCCGACCCACCTCCCCACCCCCTACGGCAAGTCCACGTCGCCATGACGTCGGCAATGGTCTCTGATGCCGTGCGGATCACTCAACATTGAACGACCGCGGCTTTCCGATATCGCATCTCGCTCAGTATGGGCCAATTCCAGGCCACTGCCTTGAGCGCCCGTGCTGGGGCCGCAGCCGCCGCGTCGACGCAGCGCGACCCTGCCCTACCGAGACCGCCGCCGCGCGCGGCGCCTCGCAGGACGCGGTCCAGCGCTGCACCTCCACGAGCTGCACCTCTCGCGGGCCGGCAGGACGTCCGAATCCCCATGGCCTCGCGGTGTGGACTCCCGAGCCGCGACCCCACGAAGAGTCAACCCGTATCATAAGGACGCGCGGTAGCGAGGATGCGAGGGCACCCTTGGGAAAGTTGCCATCCTTACAATGCGGGTTGACTGCAAATGGCGGCTTTACCGGGGAAGGCAGGCCTGAGTAGTGTCGAACCACGGAAAACCACATCGAGATCGGACCGCCCCGCCCAGCTCTGGCTGGCCCCAGCCGGCGCTCGTGTGAACCTAACCGACTCGGACCCAGTCTGAATCGCGGCCCCAGTCGGCGAAACGAGTCGCATCGAATCGGATCTTCGGCGGCCCTGGCTGCCCCGCGCGGAACGTGCCCACGGGATCGCGTGTCCATGGGATCGCGCCCCGGCGGCCACACCACGAGGGCATGGACGTACGTGGACGTGCTCACCCTGGCGCGAACCTCGGCCTCGCCCAGGCGCAGCCCGAGGGCCCGCTCGGTGCGCTCAAGCTCCTCTGGCCGGCTGCACGGAGAAGCGACCCTGCGCAAGAGTGTGAACTTTAGTGCGTGGCTTCAGTGGGGCGATGGATCGGGATTGGATCAGGGGGGGGGAGATATGCCTGGAATCCGCGATACGTGGCCAATAGATCGGCGATAGGCCCTCGGTAGCGAAACCGAACGGTCCTGGAAAGAGTGGGATATCAGGTACCTATCGGTGATGAATGGGCGATTGGAGTCAATGATTCCCCCCTGAGCCCCCTCCGTGCCGTTGACCTTGCCTTTGATTTTCGTGGGCGCCCGAAGGATGGGCGGGGGGGCGGGGGGACGTGGGGGTGGTGGGGGGTGGTGGGGGGCGGGGGGGAAGGGGTGACAGGGGGGAGGGCGAAGGTGAAGGGGTGGAGTGGGAGGGGGGGGGGGGGGGGGGGGCAAAACCCATGCGCGAAAGCCGCTGCCAGCGCATCGCAGTCAGCGATCGGGGCCCCTGGCGAGCTCGCACCAAAGGCCACTCTGGCGATGGACCACCCTCGCGCACAGCCGATCCAGCGCCGTGCCGCGGCCGCGCCGCGCGTCGTCGTTGGTGCCAGCACGGCCCTCCAGGCATTCGATGCGGCTGTCCAGGCCGTCCACGCGCACCTGGCAGCGAGCCACAAGGCCTGCCCCTCGTCCTCCTCCTCCTCCTCCTCCTCTTCCTCCTCCTCCTCTCCTCCTCCTCCTCCTCCTCCTCCTCCTCCTCCTCCTCCTCCTCCTCCTCATCATCATCATCATCATCATCATCATCACCATCATCCTCCTCCTCTTCCTCCTCCTCCTCCTCCTCCTCCTCCTCCTCCTCCTCCCTCCTCCTCCTCCTCCTCCTCTTCCTCCTTTTCCTCCTCCTCCTCCTCCTCTTCCTCTTCCTCCTTTTCCTCCACCACCCCTTTCTTTTATACATAACTCCTCCCTGTCGCACCCCAAACGTTTCGGTGGGGCGGGCCGAGAATTCCGCCTGAGATTTCAATCTTCGGCCAGAGATTCACGGATATCAGACAAGTGGGGCAAATCCTGAAATTCCGATCCTAGATCTCCCACCTCATTTGGATCCTTACTGAAGGTCTTCTTGATGATCCGCCGGCCCCCTTGTGGGGCCACCAGGCTGTAGGACCGTGATTCGCAGTTTCCTGTACCAGTTGTAGCTTGTAGTTTCAAGTGTTGCAGTTATGCGTCTTGCTGGTTACTGTAACTAGTTGATTGACCGCGCGAAGGGGGGGAGGCACAAACGGAATTTTTAGCACCCCCTGGGCGCGTTGTCTGAATTGCTGGGGGGGCTCGAAATCGACACCCCTCACGCAGATCCGCGGGGCCAGGGTCCAAAAGCACAGGGGATTCGCCACATTTCTGATATTAGGCGCCACCCCTCACGCAGATCCGCGGGGTCACGGTCCAAAAACACATGGGATTTGCCACATTTCTGAAATTCGGTGCCACCCCTCACGCAGATCCGCGGGGTCAGGGTCCAAAAAAAAAAAAGGATTTGCAACATTTCTGAAATTCGTGCCACCCCTCACGCAGATCCGCGGGGTCAGGGTCCAAAAACACATGGGATTTGCCACATTTCTGAAATTCGATGCACCCCCTCACGCAGATCCGCGGGGTCAGGGTCTAAAAACACAGAAGATTCGCCACATTTCTGAAATTCGGTGCCACCCCTCACGCAGATCCGCGGGGTCAGGGTCCAAAAACACAGAGGATTTGCAACATTTCTGAAATTCGGTGCCACCCCTCGCGCAGATCCGCGGGGTCAGGGTCCAAAAACACACGGGATTTGCCACATGTCTGGCTTCGGTGCCACCCCTCACGCAGATCCGCGGGGTCAGGCTCCAAAAACACACGGGATTTGCCACATTTCTGAAATTCGGTACCACCCCTCACGCAGATCCGCGGGGTCAGGGTCCAAAAACACATGGGATTTGGCACATTTTTGAAATTCGGTGCCACCCCTCACGCAGATCCGCGGGGTCAGGGTCCAAAAACACAGAAGATTCGCCACATTTCTGAAATCCGGTGCCACCCCTCATGCAGATCAATCGCAAGGCGTGGTAACCCAAACTGCGAGTACTCCCTCGGCCCTTTAATCCCAAGGTGCGGTAACCAAGCTCGTAAACCATACACGTCTTACCAATCGCCCTGTGTGGTAACCCCTCTTGTGATCAGTTGGTTTTGCCGATTGCGAATCGGCCTCGCATGAAGTTCCGATACTGCTGCACGACAGCGCCAAAGCCTCATGACTTAGCTCTTCCATGGCCCATTACCCGAGAGAGGGGGCCGGCGGCAGGGGGCGAAGCCCTTACGGATATGATCCTCGACGGTGACCGACGACATGAAAGCGCGCGCGCGGCGCGCGCCCCTTTTTCCTCGCCCGAGCGCGGCCACGCTCGTCTCTGCAGCGTTCGAGCCAAATTCCCGCAAGGGCAGGCGCCTGGAAACTTACACACAAGCAGAGGAAAGAGAGCCGACATAGGCGACTCCCCCCGCAGCGAGCACAGAGCGACCCAACCTCCAAAGGCCAACCTTCGGTTCACCTCGTCGGGGGCACCAGCCCAAAAACCAGTCTTACAGCGTCACCTGTCCGCGTAGTGCTTATTCCCACTGCGGTGTTGAAAAATCCTGGGCTCGACGAGCCCCTAATTCGTTAGTCGGGGCCCACGGGGCACCTCATCGCCAATCCCCAGCTCATCGCCCGCGGCTCGCTGCGACCTCGTTCGTTGACCTCGAACCGCCACGCCTGTCCTTGTAATTGTCCTTCTTCCACTTGTTGTCAGTTGCCCTTTCAAGAGGCGCCTGACCTGTCATGTTTGGATTTACGCTGCCACCGGCCACTTCCGGAGTCCAGCCGCCGGCAACTTCTGGAGCTCTAGTGCATGTCACCGGCCCAGCCAGATTAAGAATTCTTGTTCCGACGCGAGCTATACACTTTCAGATAGCATTTCAATGTGTTCCCTGGCAAGGAAACACATCAGGCCCCCATGTGCCGCCATCTGTGCCACCACCGCGCGCCTTCTGCTTTATCCTGAGAGCGATCTCCATTCTCGCGTCTACTGCCACAGACTTTTGCCTGCAGACCCAGGGTTACCACCAGGAATACCAGGCGGCGCAGGAAGGCGACAGGAGTTTGCTGCACCACTACCTGGATCCGACCTCGGAAGGGGTCGCGGTGGAGCAGGAAGCACCTTGCCGCCATGCATCGCAAACGTCAGGACATCCTCGGACAAACAGGAGTCCAGCTTCAGAAACCGCTTTAGCCCATCACAGCCAGAATTCCTAGCATCCCGTGCTTCTCGACCGCCTTCCCGCACCTCTCCCCCTCAGTCCTCGGTGCCCACCTGAGTTATCCAACCCACACCGACAATGCTCAGCGCATCATAGACAGACTCCCTCACACTGGGATGAGAACAACTTGTTGGTCCACCATCACGTCCGCTTCCTTGGATCACAAGGCCCTGCAGGAATATCCATAGCATTTCGCTACTCGCTGCGTCACATGGGCAGCGGCCACCTCCGGTTGTTCCCGCATTTGGGACGGATCAGTGCAAAACATGGAAGCTGGCATGACACTTCGGGCCACAGCCGTCGGGAACCACTCGGGTTCATTCATGCCCCGCGGTCCGATTTCAGCAGACAGGTCGGTATTAGAGTCGCCCGCAACCAGATCAGTGACGCGTCCAATCTCATATTCAGTCAGGAGCGATTCAAGAGCTTCAACGGTGAGCGCACAGCGTACGACAGCCGTTCTCGCATCTTGAGCTGCTGGGAAAGAATCAGATACAAGATTGAGCCCACTTGGGGTCTTCTCATCGTCGACATGAAAAAATGACCAACATTCGGAGGGCAAAACGAAATCTCCAAAAGTAGAAGAACCACAGCAATGGAAGCTGCCATTGATGATCGCGACTGCAACCATCAGTGTTTCGGCCACGATATGCCTTGTGCGCACATCGTCGAAATGACCCGCTGCCTCTCTGCCCTTCGGTAGATTAGCGAAGAAGGTCCGCTTGACTTCCGTTGCCTGGGCCATCGCGGGCCCTCGACTTTTCGAATCATTCAAGTCCGGATCATTTCTTTCGGCCCAGTCATTCCAGCCTTCGCCAAGTTCTAAAAGGCCGACCAAGGACGTTTCTGATACGTCCAGCCAAACGCGCTGAGTGGACCGAACCAAGACCTGGAACTTCCGAACAACAGTCAATCAGCGAGCACAGCTCGGGACACCACGTTATCAATGTTTGCCATGTTCGACGTCGTTTACCCAACCTGTCTCGTCTAGATACGCATAGAACATACTGAGCAGCATGGCCATATTCTGCAAGAATGATAGAGCACAGGCCAAAGGCTTGCACTCAAAGCCATTGGGGGTCCATGTCAGGTAAGATACAGCAACCAGTTCGTCTGCTCCAGTGCCTCAAAAGATCGGAGAGCATCGCGACCCAAATGAAACCACCAATTATCTCATATAATCATCCGCTTTCCTGTTACGGCAGCGCGCTCTGGCAAAATTTGCGATCAGATTTCCGCGTGTTCTGCTCGGGATCCTCGGGGGACCTCACTCAGATCATCGCCGCAGCAATGATGATCGGCCCCAGGCCCCTCGGGATCGACGTCTTCAATATCGGCCGGTTCCATCGAAAAAAATATCAATGCCGTGGGCCGCGACATATGCACCAAGGGCGTTCCGTGAGTCTGCAACTGGCGTCGCGGCACTACCGATGGCCATTCGTCGCGGGGCTTCTGCATTTGTTATTGTGCATTCGGCGCGCCACGCTCTGATTGAGTGAAAGACATAGCTTTCGACTCGCGGCCGGGATCCCAGGAGAAATTCGACTCGTCCTCTTAAATGGCTGCGATTCGCGCTCACTGTTCCCAAGGATGCACAAATCCCACCAGCCGTCTGGGCGTCGGCGGTTTAGAACGTTTCCTCTTCCACCCCTCCTTCTTCCCCTTCGGGGAGGGGTTTACCCCTCCCCCTACCCCCTCCCCACTGACCTGGACAGGGGGGGCCGCGGGTAGTTAGAGCGTCCAAGACGGCCCAACGCGGCTCCAAGAGGGCCTCAGGGAGCTCAAGATGACCTCCTAGATGGCTCAAGATAGCGCACGATGCCTCAAGTTGGTCCCCATGACGTTCCAAGACGCTCCAAGAACTCCCCAAGACGGTTCAAAATGCCCACAAGAGCATCATTAGGATGCATCCAAGACGCCAAAATGCTTCAAAACCCTAGCGACAATTAATGTTTTTGGTGTTCTCACTTTTTCGCTTGCGATGCACATCCGACGCGTCAAGATGGCTCCAAGATGGCTCAAGATAGCTCCAAGAGGGGCCCCAGAGAGCCTCAGGATGGCTCCAAGAGCGGCCACGAGCGCTCCAAGAGCGATCCAAAGGGGGCCCAGGAAGCGATTTTTGGAGCTCCCGGGGGGGGGGCTGTAATTAGGGAACCACACTTCCTTGGCCGATGTCCTCCAAAATTGCCCCCAGAGCGCCCCAGCAGGGCCTTCAAAGGCGCCCAGACGGTTCCAAGATGAGCCCAAGCCTCCCAAAACAGCTTCCCAAGAGACCCCCAAGAAACCTCAAGAGTCTCCCTGCGGCCATTGGAAAGCTCCCCAGACGT